GAATATGGTAATATGGTGTCGAGAAAAAAAGCAAAACATAACGTTTTCGTTGACTGCTGTGACCCTACAAAATTTTTTCATATAATTCGTAGTTGGATCGCAGATTGAATGTTCTTGAAGCTCTTCGACTTTTACAATTTATTGGCAAGCTTTCGGCAATAATGCCATCATCAGACCAATTTTAAAATTACAATACTTGCGACTTATCAACTGTTCTCATACAATAAACATGACACGTCGACATACCAGCGATAAGGGACCTATGTGGGTCGGGAGCGAGTAAAAAATGAGACATCATCCCCGAGGGAAGGATTCATGGACGAGCACTGGAGAGCGTTAGCCAATCCCTCCGCTTATCCTCAGTAGCTTCTGACACCGTACATTGAGACATGAGAATGAGGACGCTCCATCTTTCAATGTGAGCGTTCTGCATAGACATTTGGTACGGCCGCTGGAAAGAAAGATCATGGAAGCGCGGGAAATACATCGAATCAGGCCAGAAATTAACAAAGAGAGCGTGACCTTTCAAGACTTCTTACTTAATCATCTGGTACGTCGATGTGTAGTGTTTATTGTATGAGAACAGTTGATCAGTCGCAAGTATTGTAATTTTAAGATTGGTCTGATGATGGCATTATTGCCGAAAGCTTGCCAATAAAGTGTAAGAGTGGAAGAGCTTCAAGAACATTCAATCTACGATCCAGAATCAAATGAAGCTCAGAGATAGCAGCATTTTGTCATATCTAAAATTCCTGCAGAGCCGGTTTAATATTTCTCGGGAACAATTTGCTATCTTATTACAATATGTTGCCCTCCACCAGCACGCAGTATATCACGATGAATCACTGAAATTTCTGTACACGTGCAAGCGTGAGCGTATATTCCCTTCTTTCATTGCAAATGGATTCACGCAGCTACCTTACCAAAGTAATCGCGATGTCCAGTCAAGGATTCTGAGCCTGAAAACTGCTCTTCTTGATGCAGCTATTGCTGAACGCCGTCGAATGAAGTCATCCTGCATATGCGGAATAACCTCTTAATCGAAATCGACTACGTTTGGTATTGAGTTCCGAAGTTTGGCAGAGAATGTCCTCAGAAAATCAGAGAATATGCAATCGACTACGTGAAGGTCAAACTCGCCATTTTGAAAGAAAACTGAACTTACTCAGATCGCGTCTACAAAATATCCAAGAACCGGGGTCTAGCAAACGCTGTACTACCTACACGACATGTGGTTATTGGAACAAATGAAGTGGATAGTGATATGGCTGCAGCCCTTAATCTAGGGCCGTCATTTGCAATAACACCAAGGGTAAACAATTCAGTGATGGACGCAGCGCTCTGTGGAGTCATCAATTCGCATATCAACTACGTTGGAGGACACATCGTGGGCCAACCGTGCTTAACCAACATGAAACTTTGATGTCGTTGATGCCTTTCAAAGGCAAATTTATAAAAATACCCCCGTCGACACGTGACATTGATGCAAAAATAGCCAATCTCGAGCATAACATCCAAAGAATTTATCGGAACGCTATGAGTGAACCTTATCGCAGTAATTTAACATCAACTGAACGAAGAGGAGTGAGAAAAATACTGCAAAGGAAGAGTGTGTTGAGGATCACAGTGGGCGACAAATGTGGTTCCTTTGTTGTAATGCCTCAATCGTTGGATAAGGCTCTCACCGCTCAAGTTCTCTCAGACACGACAGTATACGAGGAGAGTACTTTATCAGCGTTCGAAACTGTATGCAAGAGAGTGAAAAATGTCATCATGACGACGGTGAAGGATCGTATGAGCCTAGAAATGGCGAAACGACTGCATGGGATGGTACCTACAGTGCCGACTCTCTACAACCTGGTGAAGACGCACAAAATTCCACCAACGGCAGACACAATGTCACTCCCATTAAGCGAAATCAAAACGAGACCGATTATCGCATCATGTGGTGGTCCGGCAGATAGGTTGAGCTGGCTTCTAGTTCAACTACTTTCGCCACTGTTGCGGTATGTGGGAGCGCACATTGTCAATGTCGACGAATTCATTTCGGCGCTTCACCAATGTCCAGTGCCGACACAAGCCTTCTACGCGAGCTTCGATGTGGTATCCTTATACACTAATGTGAATAATGCGGACGCAGTGCGAGCTGTTTTATCCCTTCTGGAAGAAAATCGTGGTCGCGTTTCCACGATGGGATTCTCCGCAAACGAAATAAAGGACCTCATTGAAGCGGCACTAGAATGCAACATTTTTTGCTTCAACAACAAGTTTTACAAGCAAAAACGAGGCCTAGCCATGGGTAATCGCATAGCACCGGTGTTAGCAGTCATCTTTCTGGACCACATAGAGAAGTCTTCATTAACAAGTGGAATTTTGTTCTACAAGCGTTATATTGATGACGTCTTTGTTATTGGAACAACGGAAGATGATCTTGTGGAAACGTTAGAAAGACTGAACACACACGATATGAACATCACCTTCACAAGAGAAGATCCAGGGAGATGGTTTTTTGCCATTTCTCAATACGCAAGTAAGAATACGTGAAGGCTACAAGGAACACCTATGGTATAGAAAAGCTGCCTCGTCCAATATCTTGTTGCATTCTAGAAGTGCCCATCCGATCTATATGAAGGCGAATGTCGTGCGGAATCTTCTAAGAACGAAGGAGAAGTTAGGGAC